CGATGGGCCGCGGCGCTCGCCTAAAAGGCGCGTCCAATGGCTGCGAGCGGCAGAGGCCGGTGCGCAGGAGGGCGGCCGGGGCTCAGCGGGCGGGTGGGTATCGGGCGGCGGGCCCGGCGCTCTTGGTCCGGCGGCGACGTGGGGGCCTGGACCGCTGGACGGGCTAGAGGCCGGAGGGCAGGAGGACGAGACGGGCAGGGACCGTGGACGGGACCTGGTGGGGGCGGCGACAGTGATTGGCTCTTTGTCTCCGCTCGCTCCAAAATGGCTGCGGCCGGAGCTGAGGGTAGAGCCGGGCGGTCAGGCGAGGGAGCCGGGGGCGCCGTGCTCCCGGGACCCCAACGCCCCTTATGAAGCCGCCGCCGCCGCCGCCCGCGGGGACCCGGCGCCCCGGGAGGGTGCGGGCTGGGGCCGGGGGCCGAGGCAGGGAGGCGGCCTGGGCGTCGGCGCCATTGCTGCCTGGCGGGCGCGAGACGCCGGGCGGGGCGGGCGCTGGCCTGCCCCTCGGCCCGGCGCCTCGGTCCGCCCGAGATCCGGCGTCTCGCGCTGTGAGGGCCGCTGCTCGGGCGGCGGGGGCGGGGCGGGGGTCGGCGCCCGGGGCCGCGCCAGGGTGACTCATCTTCTCCGGCGGCGCGGCCCCCGGACACGAGTGTCTGTAAATTACTGGGTGAGACGGCGGCGCCGGCCGGGACCAGCAGCTCCTGTAGGGAGTGTCCAGCCTGGAGGTCTTCCTCGGGTCCTTATTTCCCGTTCTGTCCTTTTGACGAAGTAAGTTATCTAAAATAACCTTACGAGCACCTTCTCTGTAGAAAGAGTTCACGTAAAGTTCTCTCCTGCGTGTTTTCGGGGTTTTTTCACGGAAAGATGGTATTCTGGGACATGCCTAGTGGTTCTCTTCTCTCCCCTTTTTTTGGGGGGGCGGGGGACCCAGAGAGGTGCCTCCGGCCTCGCTCCAGCTGAAAAGCCCGCGCCGCAGTCACACGGACAGCAGCACAATGCGGGAAGCTGTTGACACGTAAATGATCTTTTCTAACCGCCTAACAAAAGAACCCGCCGGCCCCCGCGAGCCCCGCTCACGGGGCGGGTTTAGACAATGGGCGCGGCGGTTGGAGCCTGGAAAGGGGCCTCCATGGGCCAGTGTTAGGGGGGAACCCTGCGAAGAGAGAACCGGAATTTTGCACCCGAACTTGAGTGCCCAGAAGGCAGGGAAGGAAAGGGGTGGAACAAACCTGGGGTGGGGGACCTTGCACCCGGGGTGCCGGCGCGCCATCCCCACCGCTCTTTGAGCCCAGCGGGGGCGGACAGTCTGGTTTTCGAGCCAGAGCAGAAATGTGGAATTACGTGTAAAAATCTCATCATCTTTAATGTTGACAACTCATTAGAAAATGTTCAGGTGGGCCAAACAAAAGCAAGCTGACTTCAGCCACGGGTGCGACCTCCGTAGTGGGAAACAGAGGTGTACACCGTAGTCTACACTCAGAACACTCAGATCGGAGTCAGAAGAGTTAGCAGCCGTGCTACTGGCCAGATCACTGGCTGCCGCGAGACCGTGACCCCCGGGTTCTGAGGCCCGGGGGAGGCGGTCCCCCTCCCTTCCGCCCCTGTAGTTACTCAGATCTTCAGTGAAGGGAGGAGGTGGTGCCATCTCAGGCCCCTCCTGCTTCCCCACAGTGCAGGGACTTCCTGCGTCCTCTGAAGGCCCGCCAGGACCCCTCCAACCCTCCGCGCCGCAGTGGTGCTGACATCACCCCCAGAGTCCTCCGGGGCGCCCTCCAGTCCAGCAGGAAGTGTGGGAGGTGAAGCGTCCGTGCGCCGCCTTCCCCGCTCCGCCCAATTCTCCTTCCAGAGGGGTCGCCCCCAGGGAGGGTGGGAGTTACCGACTGCTTAGGCACTCTCCCGCATCTGGTGCCCTCCAGAGCACGGCCCGCCTGGAGAGCGGGGTGGGGGCGGAAGCCACGTGGCTCCTCCCCTCCTCCCGATGGGAGGGCGGGGAGACGCTACCAAACTGTTAACCTTGGCCACCCTGGGGACTTGGGGCATTTTCTCTGAATATCGCTCTGTGGTTTTACTTTTGCTTCAGCAAGCAGCTTCCCTGTGACTTCTGTAATTTGAAACAAAAATCCCAACTAGCATGAAGAGAAAAAAGGGCCTGAAAATGAGTGTAAATATAAACACCAGGTTTAAACAGGGGAAAATGTTTATTGTTAAGTGAGAACGGCAGGACCCAAAAACTGTACATCCTCGCTACCTACAGCGGTGCAACCGTGCAAGGCCATGAGCAAAAAGGCCGGCAGCTGTGTGGGACTTTAAGGTTTATTAAGCAGTATATTATCTTTTCAATAAAATGGAGACAGCATCAGACACGCTCTCTTAAATATAAGAATAAACATAGACATAAATAGACATTTTTCCAAAGAAGATATACAGACTGCCAACAAACACATGAAAGGATGCTCAACATCATTAATCATTAGAGAAATGCAAATCAAAACTACAATGCAATATCATCTCAAACCAGTCAGAATGGCCATCATCAAAAAATCTAGAAACAGTAAATGCTGGAGAGGGTGTGGAGAAAAGGGAACCCTCTTGCACTGTTGGTGGGAATGTAAATTGATACAGCCACTGTGGAGAACAGTATGGAGGTTCCTTAAAAAACTACAAATAGAACTACCATATGCCCAGCAATCCCACTACGGGGCATATACCCTGAGAAAACCATAATTCAAAAAGAGTCATGTACCAAAATGTTCACTGCAGCTCTATTTACAATAGTCCGGAGATGGAAACCACCTAAGTGCCCATCATCAGATGAATGGATAAAGAAGATGTGGCACTAATATACAATGGAATATTACTCAGCCATAAAAAGAAACAAAATTGAGCTATTTGTAATGAGGTGGATCGACCTAGAGTCTGTCATACAGAGTGAAGTAAGTCAGAAAGAGAGACAAATTCCGTATGCTAACACATATATATGGAATTTAAGGGGAAAAAAATGTCATGAAGAACCTAGGGGTAAGAGGAATAAAGACACAGACCTACTAGAGAATGGACTTGAGGATATGGGGAGGGGGAAGGGTGAGCTGTGACAAAGCGAGAGAGAGGCATGGACATATATACACTACCAAACGTAAGGTAGATAGCTAGTGGGAAGCAGCCGCATAGCACAGGGAGATCAGCTCGGTGCTTTGTGGCCGCCTGGAGGGGTGGGATAGGGAGGGTGGGAGGGAGGGAGACACAGGAGGGAAGAGATATGGGAACATATGTATATGTATAACTGATTCACTTTGTTATAAAGCAGAAACTAACACACCATTGTAAAGCAATTATACTCCAATAAAGATGTAAAGAAAAAAGAATAAACATAACCAAGAGTCAATAATTTCAGTGTTGCTCTGGCTGTGTGAAAGATACACAGTGTTTGTTATATTTCCTATGCTTTTGTTATCTGCCTGAAATACAACATAACAATCTTAAAAAAAGACAGGCAGCTAGATGGCAGCTGGTGGCCCAACCCTGTTCCCAGAGTCTTGGTTCACCAGACTTCCCTGCCCTAGCTGGCAGCCCTCAGCGCTGCAGACTCAGCGGGCTGTGCTGCAGTCAAGAGGGGATCCATGTCCCAGGATGAACACATAACTGAATGTAAATGCAGATGCATTAGTTTCTTAGGGCCGTTGTAACATTATCAGAAACATGGGGGCTTAAAACAACAGAAATTTATTCTCATAGTTCTAGAAACCAGAAGTCCAAAATCAAGGTGTCAGCAGGGTCACGCTCCCTCTGGAGGTTCCAGGAGGGTCCTTCCTGCCTCTTTCAGCTTCTGGTGGCCCGAGGCAGTCTTGGTTTGCAGCAGCATCACCAAATACCTTAATATAAAGCTAACATCAAAGAGCTCAAGACCTATAGACAAAAAATTGTAAAACACAATTGAGAGAAATTACAGAAAAAGTAGTTACGTGGAGGAATATACCAAGTTCAAGAATTGGAAGACTAAGTATTGTAAAAATGTCATTTCTCCCCCAACATACTCTACAGATAGATGCAAATGGACTTTAAGATCCCAGGCAGGATCTCTGCACAGAAATGGAGAAGCTAGGCTTCCATTGCCAGTATGTGAACGCCTACTGAACTAACCTGCCACAGACAGCACTATGAACTCTGGACAACATAACGCTCACCTGGAGTAGCCAGAGTGAGCACAGGCAGGTGCTGGAGAGGAGAAGCCCTGGAAGAAGAGAACGGGCGAGTGAGCTGCCTACTTTCACAGCTTCTAGCCTAAGGGCAGGCCATGCCATGCAGGGCAGATAAACACCAAAAAAACACCTGCAGTCCTGCTGGCCTGAGAGCCAGGAGATAGAGTTTGGGCAATGGCACACTCTGGAAAGTATTTGGGGGCATCCCAGAAAGGAAGGAGTGAGAGAAGGGGAGACCCAAATTCTGTTTGTAACCTGGGCCTAAATCTCCAGGTGACATTGGAACACAGGCATAGGGTAGACTCCAAGCATCTTGGCTAAAAATAAAAGAACTGAGATGAGATCTGAGCTGCTGTCCAAGGGACAGTATTTGCTGTCTGAGCCCCACCAAGTCATCTTCGATTTGCTAACACAAACACAGAAATAATCAAATCAATGCTCTTTGAGTTAATATAAGAGAATCCAAGGTCAACACAAAATAACACAATATCCAGGACACAATCTCAAGTTACTAAACAAAGAAAAGGAGAACCATAGCCATTCTCAAAAAAAAAAAAAAAAAAGTATGGGCAATTGATCCCTGATATGACACAGGTGATGGAATTAGCAAAAGAAAATTTTAAACTATTGTAATCACTCATGTAAAGAAAAATATGCTTTTAACGAGTGAAAAGATTTTTTAAAAAATCACAGCAGAGTTGGGACTTCCCTAGTGGTCCAGTGGTTAAGACTCCATGCTTTCACTGCAGGGGGCACAGACTTGATCCCTGGTTGGGGAACTAGGATTCCGCATGCCATATGGCATGGCCAAAATAAATAAATCAACAAATAAATAAATAAATCACAGCAGAGAACTGTAAAATATATCTTAAAAAGGAAATTCTAGAACTGAAAGTTAAACTTTCCTAAACATAAAGTTAACTGAATGGGCCAAACAGAAGAGTGGAATGACAGAGGGAAAAAAAAATCAGTGAACTTGAAGGTATATCAATAGAATATATTCAGTCTGAAAAGGAAGGAGTGGGGAATAAAAGAGCATAAGGGATCTCTGGTATAGAATCAAAATGTTGACATCTGTGCAATTAAAATCACAAAAAGGGAGGAAAGAATAGGGCAGGAAGAGTATTTGAAGAGTATTTGAAGACATAATTTACAGAATTTTCTATATTTGGTGAAAGGCATAAATTTACATGCTTGAAGAATTCCACAATCCCCAACTAAGATAAACTCAAAGAAAACTATGCACAGGCACAGCATAGTCAAACTGTTGGAAGCTGGGTGTAAAGAGAAAAATCTTATGAGTAGCCACAGGAGAACAACACATCTCATGCAGGGAACAATGAAGTGACACTGCTGACTTTTCAAAGGAAGCTATGGAGGCCAGAAGAAAGTGGACCAACACCTTTCAGTATTGAAAGAAAGC